TCGCCAGGATCTAGCACCACCCGCAGTAAATGAGGTTTCAATCACTTAATATTTTCCCGCCTTATAATCTACTCTTGGATCGGAACCTTCCTGCCAACCAATCATCTACAAATCATAACAGAATCCTCACGATCTTATTTGTATAGTTGTTTTGGTCTTTCACTTCGTTCCACGGCAATTCGTTATAACCTGTTAATTTATACGGTGCCGTGATAGTCCATTTGAAAGTTTAAAGAGATATGGATCGAAAGACCGCGTTTCGATTCTCGGTTGGGAACGGATTTACTTTTCGCCAATTGGTCTAGAACGCTCTGGGGTCCACGCAGCCTCCAACCTGTTTCCCTCTTTCACTCAAACAGGATAAACTATTCTTCATCAGTTTATTCCTTATCTGACGACGCTGTCAGTAGGTGTGAAAGTAAGCGTCGATGATTAACAAATAAAGGGCTAATTCAAGGTACTATCCCAGTATTTGGCTGGAAGGGCTTAGGTAAACCATGAATACCCTCAGGATAGCCGATGTCCGTGACACGGCTCTGGGTGTATGAACTTCACTCCCACTGGACTACTTCCCAGTTTTCAAGATGGTTTTGTATTTCAGCTTTTCATAGCAGAAGGGATCTCCGGGTTCCTCTCTGGACACCACAATCAGATGATTCAGAGGAAAAAAGGAAGTAATCTCACCGCATGTGATCACGTGTCATCAGTTATCAACCAACCAGCCCCTCTAGTTTAAACTCACTGTAATCTGTCCGTAGTTGGCATTCTATAAATGCTGCAAAATGCAAAATTTCTAGGCGTCTTAACAACGCTGTATCAACTGGTGAGGCAGCCTGATCTCACCATAACACGTCTACAGCAGTGGTATTCAACCTGGGGTACGCGAAGACATCTTAGGGGGAACGTGAAATTTTAAAAAAATATATTATTTTATGATAAACACTGAATAATCAGTAATGTAATTTATTTTAGATGTAGATTATATACTATGTATAACTTGAATTATACACCAACAACTTTGGGGGTACAAAGTTGAAGAGAAATTATATCTGGGGGTACGCGAACAAAAAAGGTTGAATACCACTGATCTACAGTACACAATCAGACCACAATTAGTTGGAAAAAAATGTATAACAGCCAGTGCCAAGAATCGCACGCAATTGCATGTGGCAGTATCGCCCAAGAAACACCTGAACTCTTTGTACGGAGAAATCAAATACAGAAACTGGCTGCTTATTATTATGCAAATTATAATACGTAGGTCGCGCACATGAGGAAGGATAATGCATGGGCATTAAGTCATTTTCTGTGACTGAGAATATTATACTACTCTACTAAATCCTATTTAAAGAAGATGCTTCTGGACAAATAACGATGAGCTGTTTCTATTAGGAAAATACACACGAAACCAAAATAAAAATCACTGTCCCTCTACGTCAACTTACTTTCACTTTGTAACTTTCTAGTGTTATTTAAACTTAACTGAACGTCAGTTACTGTTTTTCTAACAAGTGTCTAGTGGCAGTCCGTATGTAGGTCGTCCACAGGAAGAGATTAGCCAACATCGTCTCCACGCGGCGTTTGGTGGGGCCCACGAACGAGTTACATCGGTAAAGCGTCTTTGGGACGTTCGGGTTCAAATCATGGACACGGACTCATTCTGTTAAGATACCCAATGGTTTTCCTCAGCCTCTTCAAACAAACGCTCAAATGTAACCTCATGAAAATACATCAGTCAACTTTCAGGTTCTCACGGCGACCTGAACATGGCTGTCTCCTGGAAAGTTGCACCGGGTAATCTGGCAGATACTGACCGATGTTACAGAGAAGCTTACTGCCTCCATCGTCAGGGTCTCATCAACTTATCACAATTACGACGGTCATATCCTTCGAAATCCTCTCTTGCTATTCACGATCATCTTTTGACACTTTGTACGTGTAATTAATCTCTGCAGTCACTGAGTAAGATAACTAAACGCTGTAAAATCTAAATTTCTGTAGGAAAGTTTTTTAGAATCTCCGTTGGGCAGCTTTTGTTATTTCTTCCAAACAATAGGCCTATCACGAAATAGACCATGCATGATTAAACGTTTTCCTTCCCGATTCATCGCACATAAGGATAGGTACAATCATAGTTACTGAACGTTAAATAACATCGGCAAATGATACAGCGTATTTAAATAGCAATCACACTATTA